AAATATGACATCCCCGAATTAGTGTTGTCAGCGATGTTGTAATTACATGGGCAACATAAAAGGCGTCACATTTGATACAGGATATGTTTACCTCTCTGACTTCCTGAAATCACTCCTGATTTTCGTTGGGGTTCCAGTTGAACAGTCCTTAATTGCTATGTTGTGTTGTGTTTACTGTTGTTTGTCTAATAATCTTTTTTTTTTTATTTTTCCCATGGTGTTGTCAGTTTGGTTCTACTTATGAGTTTGCATATCACTTTGCTATCTTCTGCATGTCCTTTACGAAAAGGATTAGGTTGCATTCTTAAAAGAATATGCAAAACAGGATGTAAGACAGTATGAAAAAGAAGTAAAAACAGTTTCTAAAACAGTCCAAAACAACAATAGATTTGATTTAAGATCAATATGAGCTGAGATACAAAGAAGAGTTGAAGTTATAGAACTAAATGCACAATCGCTAGAGGTACAAAACTTACAGTCAAAAGAAACTAAAAAAAAATATAAAAATTACATATTAGTTATTACTTGACAAATGTATTGCCAATATTTGAAAAAGGGAAACTACATTGAACTAACTGGCGAATACGATCAAGCTCCGCAATTCCATATGTTATGTTCCAAATGTATACATTTTGTTATCCGGCACCCAAGACCGAAAGAATAATCCAGGAAAAGAAATTCATTAACATTTTCGAACACTAAACCGGGTATACACAATAAAAGTAATGTCCCATAATAGTGGAGCAGCGAATGTTGAAAAAAACCGCTTAGTTAACGAGTTTAATTACCTAAATACCTCATGGAATATTATAGTATAAATAGTCTATCGATTATTCAACTTAAAAAAACATGTTTGTCGTAAATATCAAATGTGGTGACAATGACGTTAAAAACGACCTTAACTGACGTTACTAAACTGTCACCGAAGACCCCACTTCTATTTCGATAGACTTATCTCATAATTAACCCTTTTCGAAACATGATTTGTAAACTAAATTGGTTAATAGGGTTACTCTTGAACTTAATACATTATAACGACATTTTGAATGAGTACTATATTTAAAGCACAGAGCATCTGAAAACTGTGGAAAAACAAAACAAAAATCACTATTTTCACCTAGCCTTATTTGCACGTGCAATTAATGTGCTTTTTACAGGTACAACCGTAAAGCCGTCGTATAATACTTAATCGACTCAATTTACTTTCTGAAGAAAATTAGTAATAAGCAGTATAATTGGTAAAACATGTGCATTTCATTAAAATTTCACTTCCAGATGTTTGTCATACATAAACCGACGTTGTTCTGGTTTCTAGTTATCAGCCCACATTAGGCAATTTTGCGATGGTCATTCGTAGTTATTTTCACGCGTATTGCTTGTTTACGATTTATTAATATTATTAGTTATTGTTGTTTTGTCGTGTTTGTTGAATTTAACCGTGAAAGTTACAATTATTGTATGATACGTTTGGTTTTCAGGTGTGTTCTACTTGTTGGACATTCATGTAAAAAGACAATTACACTAGTTCGTTAAACTGGCTCCTTCCGATGCCACCAAAAGGTGCTCTGAAGTTGGAGTTGACAAATACATTACCTGCAATTTTGTATTTGCTGAATTTTAAAAAAAAGCAACAGATTCTAGAAAAAAAGTCTGCTAAATGCTGCAATACTGAGACGTGATGATTTATTAATTTTAGTTCAATAAACTATGTAACGATAAGTAAGCTGATTGAACCATTTTTAGATATCACAGGTCTTGTTTTAAAAGCTACACAAGTAAACAGAATTTTAAATTAATAGCACGACTGAAAAGGAAGCACCAGATATGAAACCAGATTTGTCCAATTCTTTGTTGGTTGAAAGTAATGTTGACCTGGCCTCTCGATACATTTAAGTCACTGTATAATTTGCAAGAAAATTTCCAAAGGAAAGTGAAAGCATTACATACCATGCTGCAAGATTATCAAATTTATATGATATAACTGTTAGAGCAAGCGACGATGATATGCTATACCAAAACAGCATGAAAATTTTCTCAATGACGCAGTTTATCATTCTAAAGAGTATTTGAAATTATAGACAAAGACATTATTCGTGAAAAAGAGACTCTTGCTATTTCATCAATGTTGATAATGTACCAGTCTTTCATACCAAATAACATTAGTAAAACCTACTTCAATTACTCTACACTCAAGACTCAACTTAAGAAGCACTACAGAGATGCAAAAGTGTCCTTTTCTAAACAAGGACATGGTATATCGAACATTTAATTTGCAAGCGTCATTTCTATTGGCGACGCCTTGAAAGCCTCGAATAACATCAAAACCTAGGAAAATCAAAAATGGTTAAAAGCCTACTCCCTGCTGACACCATGAAGAGGCAGATACCACAATGATTTTTCATGCGTTTCATGCTGATGCAATGTTTTTTACCTGATGCTTTAAATTATAAAATCAAAAAGTATGTGTTCAGACTAGTTCCATTGACAGCTTGAAGGATAACAGATGGTTTATCCCAGTACACGCCACTGTTTCATCTTTTGACCCAGTTGTCACCGAAATTCTGACCATCGTTCATGCATAGAGTGGAATTTATTTCACTTCATGTTTTCGTGATATCGGTAAAATGTCGAAATGCAACCTCGTTAATACTTGTAGCATTTGTCGAGACCATATTCAGACTATACCAAGATTATCAAGTACTCAGTCAGACGTATTAAGTGAAGTAAGTCCAAACTAAAGTCGAGACAGTAAAGTACAGTTAAGTACTTAGAGATTTATTGAGTATTGTCAAGTAAAATCTTTGCTCGACGTTACTGATCGGGCGCAAAATATTTTTTTTTCAGACTCCGAGCAGTTTGCAGTTTCTTGTCAAGAAATGCTATTTATCGAGGTCGACTATCAAGGTCATTCAGTTGCAGTTATTTATTAGGCTTTGAAATTTCCATCAAACATTTTACCTTCGAAAAAGTTATGGAATACGTTGTTCTGACGTCATGTGCAAATATGATACACTTCTAAGTCGGAACTTAAGCATTGATAAATAATACTACTTGTATTATTCATTGAATGGTGTATAGATTTTCCAAAAAATCTGCAGTTTATTTCTCCAGATGAAACTTATATTTATTAATTGATGACCTTTGACCTTGATTCAACGCATGATTGGACCAGTTTTCATATTAACGACACATATAAGTAGACGATGTAAGCTTTCAAATGAACTATTTTAATTACATGAGGTATGTAGGTAATTCACATTTCTAAAATTTTCCTATTACCGCTCCACTATAAGAACATTCAAACTCCGTCAATTTAAATTATGAAATAAAATGAACAACCGCTAGAGGTACAAAACCTGCAGTCAAATGAAATCCCAAAAAATATAAAAAAAATAGAAATATACTACGAACGTAAGTTAATTTTTGATAAATGTATTGTCAATATTTAGATAAGGAAACTTACATTGGCCAAATTTGCGGTTTTAGGAAAAGATTAACAGTACACAAGTAATAGATGATCCGTCAACCACAACACTCCAGAATATATCTAACGGGCACATTAGAAACTGCGCCCAAGACTAACCTTCGCAATTCCATACTCTCCCGACTTTATTCGTGTGCCTTCTTAGACGGAAAGAAAAATGAAGGAATCGATTAGCATTTTCAAACCCACACTAAACCGAGAATAAACAAGAATGGTAACGTTATATAAAAATCAAACAACGTACATAAAGATGTCTGAGACAACATCGTTATCCTTGATGATCGTTCAATCTTCTGAAACTTAATAATGTTATTCACAATATTGAATAGTGGTATATGAACCAAATTTTAATCTATTTTATTCTATTTGGTGTAATATATAAAACTTCTTCATATTAGTAAAAGATCTTTCTTACGAGGGCGCTGGGTCGTTATGAGAAACAGAGACTGCAGAGATATGCATCCAAAAGGAATCGTAATGAGAGATAAGTAACTAAAACAGAGGTTGCGTGATTATACCTCTCAAATGGATACCACTGTTGAGTTGAAAATAGTTTATTCTTAAATTTCAAAGTTGACGAAAGTTAAATAATTACAATAGCGGCTTCGTATTTATATATTCTAAATGTAGAGCACTGAAATATGAACTGAAAACATCTAGAATTTTAGAATTGATAAAGGAATTACAACAATCATTGCGTAATTATTAGAACTACGCCTTTTCATTGATTCCATTTGGTGGTAACGGTAATTGTCTTATCTAAAATCTTTCCCGAGTGATCTTTCCTCCCTAGACAAAGCAGTTTTGTGGTCTTTGATAGTAACAGTTAATCGATTGAAATCTTCCTTATTGTGGATAGGGGCACTGCTTTTTCTACTTTTGCCCATTTCAGAAACATTAGATAACCCATTTTGGAGTTATTCCCCCTGAAATGTCCATTTGTAGCAAACTTAATTTTTTTAATTTTGAAAACGTTTATAGATAGATAGTATTTCAATGTAAAAATTGACTAATAAAGTCAGATCTACAAATAGTTGACTCTTGATTTGAGTCTATTTTAGCTACATTGTAAAGGCCATTTGAGTTTTTGACACCCCTTTAGTCTGTCGACCGTTAGAAATTTGTTCAAAAATCTTTTCCTCTGATTCCGCTGCAAAAAATTTCAACTGAAATTATCCGTAAGGTATTTCACAGAAAATCGTTTATTTTTTTGTTTTTAATTTCTTATCTGCCAAGAAAATGACCATAAAGGTAAACAAAAACAAGGGGTAACACAAGTTTTTGGCTTTAATCTTAGATACTAAAACAATTGAAGCAAAACTGAAATAGGTAAAAATATTTTTAGATATAGATGTCACATTTTTTCACACAAAGGAGTTATTGCCCGTTAAATATAAATTTAACGAATTGTTAATACAAGTGTCAAAATCCATGATTGATAGAAACAAACTTTAAGTTGCTACCATGTTCAGCATAGTAAGAGTTATGAATCCGCTACAGATTGGTGCAGTCCCAACCTGTACGAAAGTTAACTTGGAGAAAATGTTTTGACTGCTTTCCATGTTACCTTAAGAAATTTTAACAGACTAGCAAGTTAAATTCGTTGTTGGTAGACAAAACCTGTCTGCTTTTTAAGGACTGTTGTAGAAAATATTGACAAGTCTGCTCCAGACTATACTGGTGGACTAATATGTTTTTGACAAGACGTGAGAATGAGCAACTTCTGACCATACCCAAGGACAGGTCTGTGTTTGCCAGATTGCTGTGTTAAAGATCATATCAGAACTGAACTGACCTTATGCGTATGATTCTATTTTCCAGCAACGTTCTATACTCTTTAGTGACTTTAATTATACACAAAATTCTGTTTTGCATTTTATATTCTTGTACATATACCATAATGGCTTTACAATTTTGCGCTTGTTGATCGACTTATATAGAATCACGTATCATAAAAGAAAGGAAAGTAATGGTTATTCTTTTCATTTGAAGGCGGAATAACAAGTTATCCAACGTATTGGAAGAATGTGTATTTGATGGGATATTAACAACATTGCTCAGGTGCTTTGTACCCCGTTCTGACAGTCTAAACTTTCCTTAATATATATATACTATGTAGAACTTGGATTTCACGTACTTTTCAATGATTTGCCTTGGATTTACAATTTTATTTTCGACGGAATGTTCAAATGAATGTTCTACAGTACCCGGATATATAAGACGTAGTATAATTTTGAGCATTCTCAATTTAGTAGAACCAACTTTACCGATTAATGATACCTAGGACGTTATATATCATATACTGACACTCAGTCAGTCAAGTATGATATTTCCAGACGAAACCGCTATATATAGTTATAGGGCAAACCCCAGATTTCATCCTAAAATTTAGGAGATATCAGGTTGCAACAATTAATTGATGTTAATATATTACAACCTCTTATCAGCTTGATCTGATGACTTGTTTTGTAACTCTTATCTGTAACCATGGTAATCAGAACATTGACCACAAGAAAAATAGATGTGTACACTGTACAAAAAAATTGCAAGACATACGAGTGTACTTGTATTACAGACAGGCAGCTAATTTAAAGGTATGTTGTGTGAAATAATTCCTACCACTAACTTAATGTAAAAAGAAATTTTCTGTTTCTCTGTATCATTTTTGATATGAAGTTATACTGATAGATATTTAAGACCTTTACATATCAATAAATTTAAAAAAAATTGTAATGAAAAAAAACTGTTTTTAAAATCCAATGACTACATTAGAAAAGAAAATCGGCTAATTGCTTATTCCAGAGAAGACCAATAAAATTTACATGCCTTCAATTTTTTTTCATTTTATGATTAAATATTATGAATATAGCAAAATAGTATTGCTGTGTTGTTGACATTTTTACCTTTTATGTCTGTTTGTTTTGTTCACACATCGTTGTCAATATAATGGAATTTTATGCGACTGTCATACAGTAGTATTGACTGCTAAGCGAAGAATTCACTAAAGCTGCTAATTCAAATTTTGACTTGGCTAGGGATATGACCCTCGATCCCCTGCTCTCAAAGCAAGCCTCTAGGGATGGATAAAAGGAGAGGTGTGGGTATATCATGTTAATAGCAAGAAAAACAGTTAACACTGAATGAACTACCATCTTGATGCCAACATACAGTTTTCAACCAGTGACATTTGTCTATTATGTATGTCAAGCTATTTACTGTTCAATATTCCCTACAATTAAAATAAAAGGTGTTTTTGTTTTAGATCATAAAACGCAAGTTCTAGTAATAAAGTACCAAATTACAAAAAGTCCCATTTGAAGAAGATAACAATAAAACAGTGCTGAAAGTTGTTGAATTAGTCAGAAAACATATATAAAGGAAGGAGATAAAGCCATCATAAAAGATAACCTGAAACTAGAACTTACCAAAACAATAAATTCAAAACTGTAGATGCTAACACGTTTGTGACCTTTCAGGGTGTTAAATGTACATTTCTAATCATATAAATGAGTATGATATCTTAAGAAAAAAATGCTGCAGAAATGTCAAAAGTCCTTTGTGGATAGAAAGATGACAATTGAAAATATATCCTATAATTTTAGAGAGAAATTTCGAATATAAACTTTTTACTGCCATTGGTAAAATAGCCATTAATGAAAATAATTAGCAATCACTACATATCAATTACAAGGCGAATTTTAGCGAGAATGAATGAGACAAAAATAGTATATTTGAGTACCAAAATAATTGAAAAATCCACTCACATTAGACTTTGAAGAAACCTCAAGAAAATCTGCTCTCTAAACAGGCTTATAACGATTTGTAAAATTGCATATACATACTGACATTTCCAAATGCATCACCGAAAATGAGCAGAGGAAAGAGGCTTCTGGGTTAATAAATGAGGAAACAGTACACTGAACAATATCAACAATACGTTCAATGGTCTTCGACAATCCGTTGGCAAATACCAAAGATATATTTTCAAGCAGAAGCCCACCGACACTGTAACTGAGTTTGTTTCATAGCAATGTTTAAACCATACCAATGGCGTTCATGCATTTGTTGAATGTAAAGCTGAAGCAAATTTTGGGTCGCTAGAGGAACAAGCTACACTTGATCGTTCAGATTCACATAAAACACATGGTGTTGTTGTACCAGAAGTGGTTTGAATTGAAGAAAACATTTTGAGAGGATATAGTTGTAAACAATGTACAAATGACAACTATCATTTGTTTCATTTGAGAGAAGACAATTTTTCTGGAAAGCTAGGGACCCACTTTTTTTCATGTTTTAAATACATATGATGAAGATTATATTCACTCGAACCGAAAAAATAGATGTCTAACTACTATTCAATTTCAATTGTATTAAGTGTCAAAACAAAAAGTAAGATAACCAAAAATCTAAAATCATCTTCAAGATGGTAATATGTACGTTCTGACCTCGACAAAAGATACTATGAGGCCTATTTGAAGCATTATTTAATAGAACATCAAGATTTTCAAGGTGAAGTTTCAAAATTGGAGGTATGCAAGATTTACTGCTGTTATATTGTGTAGTTAGATAATTTAGTACGATGTAGTCCTGATCTTGGAAAAACACAGAACAAGTCAGATATGTACTCTTACAATCACAATACAAGGTCTTCAAAAACAGTCATACACAATTGAATCCTGGCACCAAGAAGACTGTGATCTACTTATAAGGAATGGATAAGGTGTCAGAGTAGAAGATGTATTTGTGCAAGTGACGATGGATGCCAAAGGATGAGAGTACTCCACATTGCACAATAGGCCAGAAGGAGAGCTCGAACAGCGATAGAAGTCCATGAAACATATATGTAGTTATTTGTTTTCGTTTCATGCTAATGAGATTAACTTACCAATTACTCCACTAGGGAAAATATAGGATTCTTAGTACTTACGTGTTGGCCAAAACAATATTTCAAATTTCGTCCTAGGTTATGCATGTTTATATGCAATATCCATCCTTTTTTACTTTTAAGTCGGATTGACAAATATCATCTTTAACGTGTCTTTTTTGAATAACTGATATATACGTATGACAAGGACATGTGGAAACAATATTCAACGTTGTGTGTTTTTTGAACACTGTTAAAGCTCTGTGCATAAGATTTAAAGTTGTGAACTCAAGTTTACAAAATGTGAAACAAATTAGACATGTTAGCTTATAGTTTCTGCGAGTACTATTTGATCAGTCATTTGTGTTCTTTGCCTGTTATTATTAGTTTCCGTTTTATATACCGATCTGATATATTAGTCCTCTCCAACTGAATTCAAAGTTTGTTTTTATGTTAAGTTTTTACACTATTGTCCTTGATAAAGGAAGGATTGAAGTCCTACAGGTACGTTAATCCTAAAATGTGCCTGTCATAAGCAAGTGGTTGTCGTTGGTACCTGTCTGTAATATTTTTATTTGTTCATTGATGACGGCAATAGACTATTTTCATATTACCGACTTTTGACTCCGGATTATATAATTTGTAGACTGGTTACCTTGGACATCATGGTACCATGTAGGTAAGAGCAAGCTAAAGAAGTAAAACCAAGCTTTCAATCGGTACAATTTTGGTGGAAAATTACCTGGTAAATATTTTTTTTTCACTACAAAATCAGTGTTTATCATTCATATTTTTAAATTTATTGGAAGCAAAGTACAAATTCAGAGGAAAATTATAGACAACAGTAGTTAGATTATCTAAATTTGTAAAACCCAGTTGACAAAAATCAATCATTTGAAAACCATTCAAATGATTGGTTTCACTCCGAAAGGTTAGTCGTTACAATAAGCGTATCTTGTGGTTCATCGAAAAAACTTTTACAAAGGTGTAGTCTCTATTAGGATTTGACACAAATCAAGAAAAAAAGAACAAAAGTTCAATGTCGTATAAAATTTCGCTTAAAATTTTGTACTGTGACATCTTTTAAAATATTTTTTATGTTTTGCGAACTGTACGAAACATTTCCACAGAGTCATTTCCAATTGGTCAATCTATTTAATCGCGTGTAAGTTCTATTGCCCCATTGCAGAAATACAATAGATATTGTTCTCTGTGTAGTTTATTCAGTGGGGTCTTTAAAAATTGTCTAAGAGAAATCCATCACTCTTTGATTAATTAATCTTTGTAATAAAATCATCTTATGAATAGATGAAAATACATGTTTCAACTCACAAAAATGCATGTGATGTTGTATTTGTTCACTATCAATGATATGTTCAATCTGTTCGATATCAACACTGATAAAAATATGATTTCTGACAAAATTTTTAGAAAATTTTTAGCAGTGTTCCTTTTGCTCTGCTTGGCTATGAAAAAATTATAAAATAAACTATTGCACCAACCTTGCACCTAAATGATTCTTTATCTGCAGTTTGATTTGTATTAACTTCTCAAAATGTTAAAATTTAAATTGGTGCAAGCATGGTGAGGTGGTCAAAATGTAGGAAAACCATCCCAATTTAAGTATTCTTGCCTATTTTCCCGATTATGACGTCTTTTGCACTTACCATTATGACGTCATTAAACATTTTCTTGCTAGATAAAAACAGTTTTTTTTAATCATTGACTCATATTCTAATAATTTATGGGAAAAAAATCTGCTGGGTTTAATTCTTTTATTTTTTTGTAAATCTGGGGCCATTTTAGGCCAATATAGCCCCTACTCCTTTGCATTTTTCTGTTTTTTGTTAAGTTATAGATTACATTTAAGAAGGCCTAATTTAAACATCATCATTTTCCAGTTTTTTTTTGTCAAAAAAAAAAAAAAAAAAAAAAAAAAAAAAAAGAAAGAATTCAATTAGAACAATGTAAAAAATTTTGAAAGAATACATACTGAAACAGCATAGGGATCATTTTTGAATTGCTCTTCAACATCGTCTTTTTCGTCTTTTTCGTATTTCTAACTATCAACGAGCACAAACACCGACCAGTTTCAAATCACTAACACAGAACATTCTCTCGCAGAACAACCTTACCATGATCATTATAAAGTTTTACACCTTCAAGATTAATCTTTATCTTTTTTTTTTTCAAAATAAAAAAATAAAAGGAAATAAAAAGAAACAGTAAACATGACATAAAAGGTATTCTGTTTAAACAGATGTAGACTCGATGAATACTGTAACAACTAGATTTCAAAGGTTTGGTTTAATGTGATCGATTGCTCAAATATTAAAGTGTTCCCTATTTAAAAGTTATGTTAATGGAATAGTCATAACTATACAAAGTTGTGAATAAAATGGAATTTTCTGCGAATGTCATACAAGTGAGATTTTCGCTAGCTATATATAAGAAAATGGCTGTATCAAGTCAGGAATATGAGAGTGGTTATCCATTTGTTTGATGTGTTTTGAGCTTTGATTTTGCCATTTGATTATGGACTTTCCGTTTTGAATTTCCCTCGGAGTTCGGTATTTTTGTTTTTTTACTTTTTGATATCTGTAGGATGATCAAGGTAACCAAGTAAATATTTGCGTAAGACAAACAGTGGTAACCCAAGTAAATATCTGTGTAAGGTAACCAGAGGTAAAAAAGATCAATATGTGTAAGAGGTGACATGAGGTTACCTAAGTAAATATATGTGATAGGTGACAGCAGATAACCAAAGTTAATATTTGCATGTTGTAGGTGACCATAGATCATCAAAATAAATATGGGTAAGGTCATCAGAGGTAACAAAATAAATAGGTGTATGACAACCAGAAGTAACCAATTGAAAGTAGATATAAGTGTAAGGTGACCACAGGTTACCTAATTTAATATATGTAGGGTCATACTCCTGGAGCACTCTGATCTAAAAAATAAATATAAGGCTCAGTTACATATTCAATAATTCAGTTTTGTTCAGTATACGTAATTAATTGTTACTTTCTGGTGGACAGAGTAGTGTTCAACGTTAATTGGAATTCATAAAATGCATATGAGGACAGGTACCTATTGATGTTTTTTTAAATGATCTCTATTTTGTACTAGTTCAACACACAGAGCTTTTTTTGATTTTCGGGCTAGCTCATAAGGTAACAACAGCCAGCAGGAAGATATATCACCCGGCTTATAAACATAATTCTGACCAGGATCTGATCAGTCTTTGTTCTTACTTCTCATTGCCACTTTCATATTTACGAGATTAGCTTTACAGTTTGTAGTTTTGACATGTAAAATACTATTGTTGAATTTGAAAAAAATAGCATTAGGATGCTATCAAGAGTCATTCTCTGTAAGCATACAAAACTGAGTCGCAAAGTCAGTAATGGATAGTAAATGTTTTGTATATAACTAATATAGGACAATGGTGTTGATAAAAATTACACCATTCCAGACCCTTTTGTTTTCCACATAATTAATATTATCAATAATTAACAAGTTCCGGGTCGATACCGATACCAATAGTATATGTCACCTGTTACCTATTACCAAATCTGTACGTTCCGCATCTGTCAGGCGTACCACCATTTGCTATATACACGGGTCAAAAACACACCTGAACTTCGTCATTATACAGGGTTGACACTACTCAATTCAATCATTGTCACATTGTTTCCGTTTATTGTTTTTTAATCAGTGTTACTTTATAATATAACAATACAAATACTAAAAATCCAGACTTGAAATAATGACGTAGGTACAGTTTCTAATTTGTTAGCCGGCATGACGTAAAAACGGCGAAAAAAAGAATTCAACTTTATATATAACTTATATAGGACAATGATGTTAATTACAAATTACACCACTCCAGGCCTTTTTGTTTTTCAAATAATAAATACTACAAATAATTATTAAGATCCAGGTCGACGGATTCAAACAGAAAGATTTTGAAAGCAGAGAAAACCGTGCCTCTTATAATCAACATGACTTGATTATATGACAATACCAATACAAAAAATCCACTTTAAAAATAAGGCTTATACATTATTAGATAACTCAATTCAGTCACGGACCCGCGATGTCGTGGGTGTGGTCTAGTTGAAATAAAACCTACACATTTCAATGACTCACGAAGTCAATTATAATAAAATGTAACCGTGAAAAATATAAATTTATTCTTCAGATGAGCTTGATCTGTTGACTTGCGATATATTTTCTTATTTACCAAAACAGTTCTATATTTCGTATGCAATTTGCTTAAAACTGGTTGCATGGTAAATAACTTAATATCAAGCTTTCAAAAAGTTAAATTTTCTTCTCACATAGGTGTCGCTATTGCCATTACAACCATATTAGCTGTACTATAAGAAACTATATTTTTGTTAACTGGACACAATAAAAAAAAAACAAAAAAACAAAAAACAAAAAAATAAAAACAAAAGCAAATCGGAATTTTCAAAAAAGTATGTTTACGTCTTGTTACTTACCATTAACTTGGTTTAAAATCTTGCAACCTGCCATTTGTTTTATTATTCATTTCATTATATGGGTAACCTCCTGTTTTAATTAGCTTTTGACTAATGTTGACCAATGATCTCTTTTCAATAATGCATACCATCCAATCCATTCTGAACAAATAAATTCTTAAATTTTTTTCATTTCTCAATATATTCATATCTTATCTACAGTAACAACATATGTCTTTTCTTAGAAATTTTTTAATCAAAGAGAGTGGAGACGATTACCTATATGACCTAGTTTTGTGCTGTAATACTTGGAATTATCATACAAAATTTGGATATATCAACTAATGCTCTATTTAATTATACAAGTTATACAAGTTCGTCAAGTCCTATTATTAAAGCGTAAAACAAAAATACAGATCTAGAAAGTAAATTATAAAAGGGTGAAGTCCATCAAAACTGAAAAAAGGGAATCGTTATAAACCAAATAGAAAGAGTGAGAAACAAATGTCATACTCCTGATTTGGTTAACAGGCATTTTTCGCAGAAATTGACGGATTCAGCCTAGTATTATAGCTGGCTAAACCTCCCACTCGTATTTCAGATGTTTAAAGTACAGTTATATTGATAACATAGGGTGAGCAATCCGAACAATCATAACTTACAAGAAAATAGTTTCAATTGGAAAACAAGTTCAGCTGAAATACTTTGTGGGTAAAAGATGGTAAAAACTTGATATATGCGAATATACTCATATGGTGCAACAATACGCGTGTGGTACGGGTGTCCTATACTAAGAACGTGCATTAGTTATCACCCTCCGAGGTATCATACATTAACAGTTTCTTAAAATGTGACTCATTTAATTAAAGGAATTCATTGTTACATGAATAATGCAACAGTCAATTTAACTCACAAATGAAGATTATATTTGATTAGAAAAATTTACATAGTCATAATCGACTTTGACTTTGGAATATAACTTTAAGAAATATCTAAATGAACTGTTAATCCAGAAGTTAACGTTTAAATACAGGCATTTGTGGCATTGCACACTTTTTGGTGTTTTTATTTGTTTATAGTAGATTTAAACTTTTTAATGTTTCAAATTATTTTTAGTCATTTAAAGTGTGCATGCTTTTGTCCGCACGATTTTATACAGTAGAAGTTACGTGTCGTTCCTATATTCCCATCAGGAAATAAAAATAGAGGAACAGCACGTATAAACTACTGTTATTGTAAGATTGTAGAAATAGCA